AGGGCTGAAGTCACAAAGGTCACAAAAATCAAGTCTGTAACCTTGGTGACCAATTTGTAGCCTTAATCACACCAAATACATTTTGCATTAGATTAGTCCAAATCCAGAGTTTGCTAATCTGTGCTCCTGAATTTTGACAAAAATTAACTTATCTATCTGAACATTCTCTTATTTTCTTCAACTTGGAGACATTTTTTAATGAGATTTTTTTCTTTAAAGTGGACTATAAAAGGACATCAGGCAATTTGAAGGATTTCCTGAGTTATTAGTGATTATTTTTCAAAGTGAAATATTTCACTTTTTGAAAAATTTTGTTGGGGCGGGGGCAAGGAATCTTGCTCTCAAAACTAGTGACATAAACATTCTGATTGATTTTTTTTTTCTTATATCTTTTGGCTACAGTGAGGACTAGTGATTTTGAGTGTAAATGTTGGATGGTAAATTTTGAGAACTGATGATGCTTAGGGGTATAGATCTGAGCTTGAATGTCATTAATACTACTGATGCCAGTAAAGGTTTCAGGATCAGTTAACTGAAACACAGGTGTTTTTTTTTCCCCCTCTCCAAGTGAAGGAGGGCAAATAATTGTAAGGAATTGTTCGTTTGTATGCATTTCTTTTGTTAATTGGAACTGGGATGTTTGTCTCAGATATCCCTTTTTTTTCTTGGTATACATAGTGAAAATACAAAGTTGAGTTCCAGTTGAGTTCTCCCACAAGAACTACATTTATGGTCTTACTATGTACCATCTGTCCAAAGGTGGTGACCTGATTTTTATAGTAATTTTATTAGGGTAATATGCTTGCCTATTTCATGTCAAAATCTTAAGAGCAATTTACTGCTTATGATGGACTTAGAAAAGCATTATTTAAAAAATAAAGCCACCTCTGTCTTTTTCTTCATATTCCCTCATTTTTTAAACAGTAGAATAATAACTGCTAAATCCTTCCTTTGACTTTACAAATGTCAAGAACTTGCATTTGGGATCAGGTTTTTTTAATATGATCAATTATCACTCTATAATGAATGAAGGGAAATAGACAGTAGTTGAAGAATTGTTTATAAGTATGATTTTTGTCATGGGTAAAGTGAAAAATAGCAGTTGAAAAAAATACTTGATTTGTAAATAGACTCAAATATTTTGTTCTATTACTTCCCTCCAAAGCCGTGATTTCAGGTTTTGTGTTGCTTGGATAACACTAACATTGATGCAACAAATGGAGACACTAGTTTAATATTTTGTTCCACTGTTAGTCATGTCAGCTATTATAGTTCAGATACACAAACCAAACTTATTTTTGAAGCCTTAAAAAGATCTTTCAGATTTGGGAATAGGGCCCATTGGGGACACTTACTACCTAGTTTCGCTGTCCACTGTTTATCCCACAGATATAGAGTACATACCTAGGAGCTGTGGAAACCCATGGAATGCAGAATCAACTGCAGAATGCTTTCGTTTTGCAGACTGGGGGATGAGGGAGGGATTAATCCTTTCTATTCCATATATGCTGAATATCATCCCCCAGCCTCACTTATACTGCTGTGTCAAAAGACAGGACTATGCAACACTTTAAAGACTAACAAGATGGTTTATTAGGTGATGAGCTTTCGTGGGCCAGACCCACTTCCTCAGATCGAATTGTGGAAGAAAATTGGCATGACCACGTATACCAAAGGGATACAATCAAAAAAAGTGAACACACACAAAATAGACAAATCAGATTTTAGAACAAAGGGGAGATGGGGGGGCGGGAGGAGGCAGGGAGGTTAATGTCTATGAGATAATGATATTAGAGGTGATAATTGGGGAAGCTATCTTTGTAATGGGTAAGATAATTAGCATTTTTGTTAAGGCCCATTCGTAAAGTGTCAAATTTCAGCATGAATGACAGTTCAGAGGCTTCTCTTTGAAGTCTTGTATTAAAGTCTCTTTGATGCAGGTAGTCAGGTTGTTGAGACAATGACCAGTCTGGTTGAAATGGCAAGAAACTGTTTTTAGTTTGTGTAACTGTCTGATGTCTGTTTTGTATGCATTGATTCTTTGACGAAGTGTCTGAGAAGTTTGTCCAATATACATAGCAGACGGACACTGTTGGCACATGATGGCATAAATTATATTTCTGGATGAGCAGGAATATGTGTTCTTGATCTTATAACTGAATTGGTTAGGTCCAGTGATGGTGTCAGCAAAGTAAATAGGTGGACAAAGCTGCAATGGGGTTTGTTGCAAGGGAAAGTTCCAGAGTTGGTATTAGTGTGGTATGTCCTGTGGTTTTTGGTAAGAATTATCCTGAGGTTAGGTGGTTGTCTATAGGAGACTATGGGTCTGTCTCCCAGAGCCTCTTGGAGTGTAGTATCCTGTTCTAGTATAGGTTGTAGTTTATTGATAATGTGTTGGATGGGTTTAAGTTGGGGGCTATAGGTGATGACAAGTGGTGTTCTATTGTTTGTTTTCTTGGGTCTGTCTTGAAGTAGTTGGTTTCTGGGTATTCGTCTGGCTTTTTCAATTTGTTTTTTTTATTTCTCCGGGTGTGTAATTGAGGTTTATAAATGCTTGGTAGAGATTCTGAAGTTTCTGGTCTCTGTCAGTAGGATTAGAGCAGATGCGGTTGTATCAGAGGGCTTGGCTATAGACGATGGATGGTATGGTGTGTTCTGGATGGGAACTGGAGGCATGTAGGTAACTGTGTGAGTCAGTGGGTTTCCTGTAGAGAGTGGTATCTAATTTTCCATTGTTGATTTGTACTGTGGTGTCCAGTAAATGGATCTCTCGTGTAGAATGGTCCAGGCTGAGATTGATGATGGGGTGTAGGTTGTTAAAGTCTCTCTGGAATGCATCCAGTGTTCCTTGGCCATGGGTCCAGATCATAAAGATGTCATCGATATAGCGTAAGTAGAGAAGAGGTAAAAGGGGACGGGATCTGAGGAAACGTTGTTCTAAGTCAGCCATAAAGATGTTAGCGTACTATGGGGCCATGCAGGTACCCATGGCTGTGCCGCTGATTTGGAGGTATAAGTTGTCCCCAAATTGGAAATAATTGTGGGTGAGAACAAAGTTACATAGGTCTGCTACCAGATTGGCAGTGGTGTCCTCTGGGATAGTGTTTCTAATTGCTTGTAATCCGTCTTCATCTGGGATATTGGTGTACAGAGCTTCTGCATCCATGGTAGCAAGGATGGTGTTATCAGGAAGGTTATCAATGTTTTGTAGCTTTCTCAGGAAGTCAGTAGTATCTCAGAGATAGCTGGGAGTGTTGGTTGCATAGGGTTTGAGAAAAGAGTATACATAGCTGGATAATCCAGTAGTGAGTCCCAGAGGATACCACTGCCAAAATTCTGAACCAAACCAACTCCAGCTGCTCTGCTCTGCAGCTTCCTCAAGTCCGCCGCTCATCAGTTTCAGCAGCCACTGTGGCAGACTTGGGGAAGCAGCATGGAGCAAAGCAGCTGGGGTGCCGCCGGGTGCCGAGCAGGGGGGTGAGGAGCGGTGCTGCGGGACCAACCCGGCAGCAACCCAGCTGCTCTGCTCCGCGCTGCTTCCCCAAGTCCATTGCTGCTGCTGATGATGAGTGGTGGACATGGGAAAGCTGCAGAGCAGAGCAGCTGGGGTGCTGCTGGGTTGAAACCGCAGTACCGCCCCTTCTCTCCCCTTCCCCCCACTCGGCAATAACTACTGCAGTCTGCGGGGTGGGGAGCCTGCTCCCGTCCCAGAAACTCTCAGTGGCAGCGCGGGACTTCCCCTGCCTTCATGCAAAACGGTAGAGGGTTCGCCCCTTGCTGGGCCGTTCCCCACCCGCCCCCCTGGCCACAGTGTGGGTCCTGGCAGATTGGTCACAGCCCCCTACCGGAGTACCTCCCGATAGTCTGGCGTATCCGATAATCTGGCACCACCTAGGTCCCAAAGGTGCTGGATTATCCGAAGTCTACTGTACATACATATAAAATATCATTTTTTTAAATTTACTAATGTCGTTATCAAATTGCAATTTAGTGTATAGTAGAAAGTGGCATTTAATTTATATACAACTCTTATATTGCATTAGATAACTGCACAATAAAATCCATACTATAATTTTTACATACATGTTAAATTTCTCTCTGTTAAAGAGAGTTTTTCCTGCAGGGCAACAGTGACATTATCGTGTCACTCTACGTCACTCTGCTCCCCAGCCTCAAAAGAATCTCCAGAAGGGGAAGAGGTGGCCATGGCTCAGGGTTCTCCTCCCCCCTCCAAGGGGCACCTTGGGCTCCCCACTGGTCCCCAGCTACCCTGAAGGAGGACCAGGGAGTGGTAGCAGCAGCCCCTCACTGTGCTGGGGGTCCCAAGGCTCCAGGACCCAGCGGGTGGGAACTGCCATCTCGGACTGCTCAGGCTAAGTGCACTGGGGTTGCCATGTGCCTGAAGCTCCAGCCTAGAACCCTCCCCCAGATTAGCGTGCCAGCGCCGGATTTCTGCAGTGGAGTGTGGAGAGGAGGAAACCAGAGGCGGCTTGCAGAGAAGCATGCATGCTGCTGTCGCTTCTGCTGCCCCCGGCTCAGCCCCATCCCCTCTCCGGCGGCTAGAGGGGGGATGAGGGGGCTGGAGAAGGCCAGGACTGGCTGCAACTGGCGGGTGGTGGGGGACTGAGAGGCTGGAAAGGGGGCGGGAGGAGGCTGGGAAGGAATGAGGGTGCCGAGAGACCAGGCGGGCGGGAGGCTGGGGCTGGCATGGTCTACGGCCCTCCCCTCCCCAGCAGCTGGGGCTGGCATGAGTTTCAACCATGGAGGGGCGAGCTGGGCTTGCTTACCACCACAGGTAGGGGCATTGGCAAGCGTAGCGAATAGGGTGCACTGCCCCCCAGTATTCCTGACTTGTAAAACATTAATTGGTATCTTTTTTTTCTGCATGGCGGAACTTGAGTATGTGGGTTACAGTGTGTGGTAAAGATCGGACCCTTCTATCTTAACTGTGTGTAACATTTTACTCTATTTAGGCTTTTTCTTTTGGCTTTTTTCTTCAGGTTGGTTGGAGTACTGCTCGAGACTATTATACATTTCTGTGGTCACCCATGCCAGAAAATTATGTGGAAGGATCAACTGTTAACTGTGTGCTTTCTTTTCAAGGTGAGCAAGTATATGCTTGGTAAATAAGTATCTGTGGAAATTAGGAGCCTAAAGATTTGAGAATCTTGGCCTTCATTTTCTTTGCTGCTGTTTTAATCTGTGTGCATCTGTTTTGCTTACTTTTGTAATTCTTAACTGAGGACTATAGTGTCTGTTAAAACTATGTAATTATGAAATCACTGCTTTTATTTTTGCTATTTAAAAACAAAACAAACCCCAGTTCACAAAGTTGAAGGAAAGATTTTTATTTTTTCTCACCCGAAATAGCAGCTCTAGTGATTGGGATTAGTAACCTCTTGATTTAATGCTATGTACAGCACCCTTTTTTAGCCACAGTCAGCTTTAGTCAGCTGTGAATTGCTTCCTACAAATAGGGTAGTAATGTAATGTAGAATGTCAATACTGATGGTTGATTATTTGACCAGAGTCCTTCATATAGATGTCTTTTTTTTTTTTTCTGTTCTTAAAAGTAGTTGATCTGTACTTCAGTGTTGTAGTAATGACTTACAGCGTGGGCTCCCTTTCTTCACCTAAAGCACTGGTTTTTAGAGTGGACTGCAGGCCCACTTGGGAAAGCTGCTAGCAGGCCTATGCCACTTTGTTTTTCTAAAGCAGGGGCGGGGAACCTTAGGCCCTGGGGCTGGATGCAGCTCCTGGCTTGCCTGGATCCGGCTCTTGAAGCTCAGGGCCTTCCCTTCCTCTTCTCACCCCCAGCTCTTGGCAACCCGTGCTGGCACTCTAGCCTCCCTGCTGCCCCATTCACAAAATCTGTTAGGTTGGGCCCCTCTAGGCTCTAGTGTGCAAGGGGAATGTGGGGAATGTCTGTCGTCTTCTCAGCTGCAGGCCAAGTTAGTGAAGGGTTGTTTTTGTTTTTCTTGCTTTACTTGTGTGCGGCCCCTAACTTAATTTACTGTGGGTCAGTGGCCCCTGACTCAAGAAAGGTTCCCCACCTTTCACTTAAAGGGTCGCTAGGCATAGAGCAGTAGTTCCCAATCTTTTGGGGCTGCTGGGGGCGGGGCTGCTCATGAACCGCACACCCGGGGCGCAAGAATGGCTTGGGCCAGCCCATGTCGCTCGGCAGGAGCACATAAATGCTCCGGTGGGCGCCATGGTGCCCACAGGCACCTCATTGGGGACCACTGGCATAGAGCCTTGCAGCTCCCAGTGGCTATGGTATACCATTTCCAACCATGGAGATCTGCGGAAGTGCCAACCACACTACTCTAAACCAGTGGTTCTCAAAATTTTTGGCTCATGGACCACCCCCACTCAGTGCTCCTTTTCCGTGGACCACCAGCTGCTAATGGAAACTTGCTATTAATTACATAATCACGCCTGAGACATTTTGATAGTGCTGCAGCTAAGGAGAACAGTTTCATTTAACCAGTAAGAAAGGAAATATTAATTGAAATTATTAAACAGATTGAGTATTTTAACTTGTTAGTTTATACCTCTTGTTTTCATTTTAGTAGGGCTAAACAAGCCAAGCACTTTGGTCTTTCATAAAATAGGCTTTCCATTCCTTTGATTGTGCTGGGAGTGTCCTGTGCACCTGCCACTCAGAAGTAGTTATTCTGTATAACATCTTGTTTGTGGAAATGCTGGGCTCCAATTTAATTGGAAAAGTTAAACCAAGTATTCAGGAAAGTTAAATGGGAAGCTGTGAAAGCTTCAAAGTTCTTTTTATGCCTGTTAAGGTGAGAACAATAGATTGGAGTGAAGGGGATTGGGTTGAGACAATGAAAAGCATGAATAGTAAATAGCATCACTTGGATACTGAGAGGGTAGTGAGTTGTACACAGTTGTAGATATCTTGGTTTCCTATATTCTAAAAGCTTCTGGTAACTGGTCAGGCCATCTGATATTAGGTTTCTGTACAAGGCTATACAGTTTCTTTACTGTTTGTATTCATGTGTTGAGTTCACTAGATGGTGATTGCTTGTTTTAACTAATAAATGCAAAAGTTCCTGATCAGATCTGCAAATGAATGATAGTTTGCCAACTCCAGGGTATGGATTTATCTGACTCCACATTCCTGAAATTGAAGGAAAAAGTAGGAAACAAGCGATTACACTGAAGTAACTAAAACAGGATTCTCATGGAGTAAACTATGAATGTTACAGGTTATTTATAAGGATAGAGAACGTTCACTCTTAGAAAGTCCAGACAAATCTACATGTTTGTATTCTTCAATATCAAATGATCATGCATTTAGGTTTTGAATAAAGTTAAATCATGTAAGTCCTTAATCCAAGCCTTGTGGTCACTCAATGTCATATCCATTCAAGCAGGAGAAGTCTTTGTGTCTGGCATTTTAAAATGGCAAAAATCAATAGTGAATATATAATAAAAGCACTTGAAAGACTCAGACTTGAACTTGGTTGCAGACTTCTTTTTTCCTAGTCTTGCCTTCAGTATGTTATAAAATGAGCAATTTAAGTAAATCGCCAAAGCTGAAACTTCAACCTGAATAATGTGTCTTGAAGCAGATAAACTCCTTTACCTTTTGATTTCTTAGAACAGAAACCATCTCTACTAATATGTGTGTTCAGCACCTATCAGATAAAGGTTTTGATCTATCAACCCTTCTCTAATATAAATATTTATATTAATTTTATTACAAAATGTAATACAGGCAGTCCCCGACTTACGCGGATCCGACTTATGTCGGATCCGCAGTTACGAACGGGGCTTCCCCAGAGTACACGGACTGCGGGACCTCGCGGTCCTGCCGCCCGTGTACTCTGGGGCTTTCTCTGCATCTCCCTGGTCTGCAGACCAGGAAGACGCAGAGCAAAGCCGCGGAGGGCCCAGTGGCCTAGTCAATAATGACCCAAATCAGTGGGGCAAAAAGCCCAATGGCCAAGTCAATAACGTAGTTGAAGCACCCCCACTTTTGGGGGTCAGTGGAGTGGGATAGGGGACCTGGACCCCCTCTCTCCATGGGGCCACAGCCAGGAGCCCTGTCAATGGTGAACTGGTACCATCACTAGCTCAGCGGGGAATCCACCTGAAACAGCTGACCTCACCAGGGGCCCTCCAGCTCCCTGTCCTGGGCTACCTCCTACCCTGTCCAATGGCTGGCATTTTCCCCACCTGCATCCTCAAAGTGAGTTGCTCCCCCAGGCATCCACCTTCTGCAGTAGCTGCTGCGTTGGCAGTGTTGCTTGGACAGGAGCTCCTTTCCCTTCTGTGGTCAGCCCTGATTGAGCTGCTCCCCTGGCTTTTATATTAGACCTGCAGTTGGAGCATGTCCAGCAGGGCTGTGGAGGAGGGGCCGTAGCCAAACAAGCCTGGTTAACCCCTCCTGGGCCAGTGCAGTGTTAGTACCTGACACCCCGTCATACCCCCAGTATAACTTTCTATAACCATTGCTCAGTCACGCACTTCAAAAATATCGACACACAGCCTCACATCACATACACACTCTTACCATGCAGGCCCAACTACTGCCATCACTGCTTAGTGTAGGTACACATAACATATTGGCTATCTGGAATATATGCTAATAATTCACAATGGCTACAGCCAGCTCTAGAGGGTGAAAAGAGAAAATAGCTTGAGCAATCTTTTTCCTCCCTCTTCTTTTGTTCTGTCATAGTGTTAAATTAAATGCTGCAGATGAGAGCAAATGAGCTGTAAAAGAAGGTGGCGATTGTACATTGCAGCAACTGTGGCATTGGCAGGGGAAAGGAATGTGGGGAAATGAGGTATATTAATTAAAGAGGCCTAGATAAGGTTGCATGGGCAATCTTAACTGCATTTCGTGGTTTTCACAAGTTGATTTTGCTCAACTCATTGGTCTGCAAGAGGTTGACATATCACCAAGAAACCTTAATTCTGCATTAGTGTAATTGTTGGTGATTGAATTATACCATAATATACTCTGTTTTGTGTTATTGCTTAATTGAAGCTATCGTATTAATCATAATGATGTACTGTGTGCAATAGTTCTCATGATTAATTTTTTACTGTGTAAAATTGTTCTGTTTTAAATGTCAATTTTTCTTTTTTTAGGATATTATCTACCAAATGATGATGGAGAATTTTACCAGTTCTGTTATGTTACTCACAAGGGTGAGATTCGTGGAGCAAGCACCCCTTTTCAGTTTCGAACCTCTTCTCCTGTTGAAGAATTGTTGACTATGGAGGATGAAGGAAACTCTGATATGTTGGTGGTGACCACAAAAGCTGGACTTCTTGAGGTTTGAGTTAGCAAACTCAGATTTGTTGTTCTTATTTATATATATTTCTGGTTTTATCTGAATGATTTGGTGAATTAAGTACATAAAAATATAAAGCTAAGTAGATTCCAAGGGTTTTTGATGCCTAAAATTTGAGTGCAGGTCAAAATACTTGTTAAATACATAAATAAAATATACTTGTAAAGCACATGAATAAAATTTACACTTAAGTGCACTGTATGGCAGTGAGCATAACACAAAAACTTAAGTAACAATATTTATTAGGGATGTGATAGTGTATTCAATTAACCAATGAGCCTGGGCTTATCGATTAATTCTTCATGGTTACAAGTAAATACTCCCATCAACCTCCCCTGCTGTCTCTGTATCAGGCATCATGGGGCAGGATCAGCTTAAAACCCGGCTCCCTCCCAAGCCCTGGAGGAGGGGAGAGTGGCTCCATGGAAGCCAGCTTAAAAGCCTGCTGCTCCCCACGAGAACTGGCTCCTGCCTGCCACCCTGTGCTGCTGAGGCAACAGTACTGGGGGCGGGGGAGGGTGCAGGCGGCTGTGTGGGAACCACTCTCTCCTCGCCCTTTCCCCATATGTTTACCAAAACCAAAAAACACAAACTTTTTTACATCCCTAATATTTTAGGTGCCATCTTATATTTCCTTTCCTTGTCTGATAGAGGCAGCAGGTGGGGGGAGAGACTAGTCACATCACTAGTCGACTGTCCAGTAAGCTTCTGTTTATCAGATAGCCGACTAGTCTCTTTCATCCCTAGTGCACAAATGCCTTTTTTCAGTTTTATTTTCTCCAAGCAATGTTCTGTTATTGTTGGCCTCTCATACAATTGCTTCCATTTAGTGATTTTTTTTATCATAAATACCTACAAAGATGTGCCCTATGTTGAGCCCACATTTTATTTGTGATCGTGATTTAATAAACAAAAAAAGGCTATTTCTTTGAAATTGTTTGAAGTACTGATTGGAAAAATCACTTTACATCTTCTCCCCATGCTTCGGATTTGATTGTTCTTTCTTAATTTGCCTTCAGTGTTGCATTTGTGCCTCCATCTAAATTATTGTTTTGTGTCTATGCTAGTCAGGAGATAAAAGGGCTTTACACAGTGCAAGGTATCTACCTGCAGTAGCTTATCTTCCCTATCTTGTTTGCTGTCTGCAGGAAAATGGCCATTCAGATCAGTCTGCAGTCTTGTCACCAGAATCACAAAAAAGAAATTCCCATTTGTAATTCATATCGGTTATTCTGCCACACACTAGATTTGTTCTCCTTCACTTTGGCTATGTTTACATTCACGATTGTGACGTTCACCCAGGATTGCTGTATTACAGTAAAACTCCATTGGTCTGGCATCTGACGGTCCAGCACTCCTGATGGTCCGGCACCATCAGGAACCCAGAAGTGCTCCGCAGCTGGGGTGCTGCACGGTAGGGCCCCTAGCGCTGCCCCTGGGGACTGCGGGACCAACCCGGCAGCACCCCAGGCGTCCCCGATTCAGCCGCTGCTGAAATTGAACAGTGGCTGATTCCGGGAAGCCCGGGGCAGAGCTGCTCGGCCTCAGGCTTCCTGGAGTCAGCTCTTGGTCAATTTCAGCAGCGGCTGACTTGGGGACGCCTGGGGCAGAGCAGCTGGGGTGCTGCCGGGTTGGTCCCGCAGTCCCCAGGGGCAGCGCTAGGGGCCCTACCGTGCAGCACCCCAGCTGCTCTGCCCCAGGCGTCCCCAAGTCAGCCGCTGCTGAAATTGACCAAGAGCTGACTCAGGGAAGCCCGGGGCAGAGTTGATACGATGGGAAGTAATACACATTAGTTTGTAATCATTTGAGTTGAGCCCCATGGAGGAAGAATCACATGAAAAGAATATTTATTTTCTTTTCTAGTTTAAAATTGAAAAAACAATGAAAGAAAAAGAAGAGCTCTTAAAGGTAACTACTAGTCTGGAAAAAGAGACTGTACAACTTAGAGACCAACTTGAAAGATTGGAAAAAGAACTTAATCACGAAAAGCAGAGATGTGATCAGCTGCAAGCTGAGCAAAAGGTTAGTTCTGTAACTGATTAGAACTGTCTGCATAACATGTGTACTCTAATTAGTTCTTGGGAAAAAAGGTAAAGTGGGTGAAAACCAGCTATCAAAACTCCTCAGCAATTAGTTGTTTGCACTAAGGTAGGTCTATTTCTTTCTAAAATAGGTCTACTGCCTTTCTGTCACTATTCTTTTTGTGTTGTAAAATGGTTAAAATACTTAAATTATTTTTGTATCAGGCTTGATTAAATAATCTGACAGCCGTTATGTTTGGCATTTAATTGCAGAGTTCATAGCAGGAAAACTAGTTGAGGTTGATAAGTTTGCTTGTGTTACTTCCTCCATTTTCAAGTATTTTCAGTTTCATTCCAAGCAGTGGGTTAATAGAACACAGCATTAAAAGGATATTAGTTTTCAAAAAAGCAAATTCTAAGGAATGAAGAAACTTAAAATTATTGCTAGTAATTCCACTGACAAAGCATAATTACAGAGAATGAAAACTAATTGGGTAGGCTTGTCTAAAAGATATCTTAAAGATCTGAGGGCAAAAAGTACTGGCATTAGAAATGGTAAAAGCAGAGCAAATTCAAAAATTAATTTACAATGTCAGAAAAGACTTGCAGGGGAAATACAAGAGTATAATAATTAGTTCTGGTTTTCGCTAATTAGGAATAAGACTGACTTCTCCATATATACTAGGGGGGATACAAATTACTCTAGACAGTTTGTTTATAGACTCCTAATCAATTAAAATATTCTTTATAAAAATGTTTATTAAAAATAGGCTAAGTTGGATGACAGACATGGAGTAATGGCATGGACAACTTTGAACTAATGAAACTTGTATAATATATCTGTGGATAAAAGGCTAAGTTGGGTGACAGACATGGAGTAATGGCATGGACAACTTTGAACTAATGAAACTTGTATAATATATCTGTGGATAAAAAGCAATTAATGTAATACTTCTAAAATTTCAGTAATTACAAATCGGAATTTTGAACTGTTTAGCCAAGAAACTGAAGACTTATGCTGCTTCTGGAGATCTTAATGAACCTTTGCAATTTACTTTTGAAGAGTTATGATTAAATGGACAGGTGCTAGAGTGTTAGAGGATGAAGAAGTTCTAGTAACAATTTTAAATACTGGAAAAAGCATAATTTACTTTAGTCTTTAATCTTTAATAGAATCACTGCATCAGTGGTTCTCAACCAGGGCTCTCTGAGGGACCATGGGCTCTCCGGGGGTCCATTAAGTAGTGCCAGCATTAGACTTGCTGGCGCCCAGGGAAAAACACGAAAGCCCCATATTCTGGGGTTGAAGCCCAGCAGTCTGAACCCTGCCTTCTGAAGCTGAAACTTGAGCAATTTAGCTACATGGTAACCTAGGCAGTTGCCCTGCTTGCTACCCCCTAATGACAAACTCGGTTTTTATGTGCAGAAAAATACTAGTTGTGGCTGTGGAGTTTTTACATGATGGAAGGGCCTCAAAGAAAAAGGTTGTGAACACTTACGCTACATAACAAGTTAAAAGATTAGTTTAAATGTTAGGAAAAAAATTTTACAGTACTAATTTAAATTGCAGCAGTTGGCTTTTATTTTCTCTCATTTACCATGAGATAAGTTTAAACTAGCAGGTTTGCATGATTTGAAGAAAGCAATAATCTATGCAATACAGTAATTGAGCTCTTATAAAACTAAACAGCATTTCACAACTCAAAATTATGCTAAGTGATGTATTATAATATAATACATGATCCTATTCATCTGCATAGTGTATTAGCTGATTATTTTATTCTGTCACATACAGAGAGGCTTTAATAGAGTTCATGATTTTCAGCGTTTCTTGCTTTTTCTTAAACTTTTTTCCCCGTAATGCTTTTTTTTAAATTCTATTCAGATTCAGACACAAAAATACTTAAAATATGTCAAAGCTATAATTAGGGGTATAATTTTTAAATCGTGAGCTTCACCTATAGATTTTATTAAATAAAATATAAAAAATTAGAACAAATACAGTCTAGGTAAAAATGGTAGTTATGATCTCTCTGGGGTAATAATATATAATAGAGGGATCTGACTTTCTGATGTAAATATTGTTCAGCATAGGCTTAAAACTTTTAATTCAAGTTGAAACTTGGTGCTCAGGTTTTCTGACAGCACTGATCAGGTCCCAAGGATGCCAGACTAGAGAGGTTCAACCTCTACAGAACAAAAAGATGACATCTCCCTATATCTAAGAGCTTACATTTCTGTTTTTGTCATTTTTATAACCCATATAACTAATATCTATACACCTAGCTGAACTGCAGTTGCTTACATAACTGGAGTTTATGAATACCCAGATTAATAACCATGTTATTGATTTATTAGTGTTTTAACTTTGAAATTTGAGTTGTGATTGCTATTTTCTTCTTGGAGTGCTAGTCCCTGTCATGCACATGCAGTCCATGCACCGGAGGCTGGAGAATTCTTTCACATGGTGTCATTTGGTCAGAATGTGTGTACCTGCTTTCCTGTGTTTCACCCCAAACAGTATAAAGGCTCGTGTGGACTGTCCACTTCTCCAGTTTCTACTTACTGCTGCATGGCCTAAGTCAAAATCTTCCAGTGTTAAGCTCTTATCCTTTTTCTGTTTCCTGTAAATATTCAAAGTTCTTTAGTTTTCTCAGTTTTTGTTATTAGTGTTTGGTTAATTCCTCAATTAGTGGAAGATCCCCCCCCCCCCTTTGGGATATAGAGGCAACAAGGGGTGAGGGAAAATGCGAGTAGTCAACTTGGCAGCAAGGGGTGAGGGCAAATGCGGGTAGTCAACTTGACTACCCAATAAGCCTAGTATTATTGGGTAGTAGACTGTTCGACTACTCTTTTACATCCCTATTCGCTACTGGCCTCAGCATCAACTTGAGCACTGACTATAGTACCAACTGAAGTCAGACTTTGTGACTTGAAGGATCGGAATCTGCCACTGAAAGCCACTTGGTTAGAGAGACATTCACTAGTGGGACTATCGTGGTCCTGTAACTATGTTGTCTACTCTGACAGTGTGAAGTGAAAAAATACAACCTCTCAAAGGGCTAGTAACTTATTCCACTCCAGAGGAGATCTTCATCCTCTTGTACTCGGTCTCCCTTGTCGCCAGGATGGATCCTAACTGAGCAGATTCAAGCACTGTCTCCTGTTCCATCCACTAGCTTAAGTTTCCCTTCAGTGGGACAAAAGGCCCTACCAGTGGAGGTAGTTCCAACCTTTTCGTTGTCTGGAGAGTCAAATATAATGGTGGAATCAGCTTCAGCACCACCTCGAAAGACTAACCCAGATAGGCGTTTGAGAGTCTCTGGCCTGAGCCACACAAATAGGAATCTTCCCAGTGTCTTGTGGACCACCATAGTCTGCCTTTGAAACCTCAGATTGACCTTTTTGGGGGGCATATATAATCCTTATGCACAGGGCTCGACAGATACACTCGCCCGCGGCGAGTAGATTTTGCCAGCTGGCGAGTGCAGAGGCGGACTGGCCCGGTGGGCCATTGTAACAGGCTGGCCGAAACCCGCACTACGGGTGGCGCGGCCCCATCCGATCCGCCGGCCAGCGGAGTAGCAGAGCACTGCTGGGGAGGGGGAACTGTGGCAATTCTCAGCGCCGGGCTGCCCGTGTGCAGCTGTGGCGCGAGGAGGCGGGGCACTGGCAGACGATTTTAAAGGGCTGCGGCAGCTCGGCTCTGGTTGCTTCAGTCCAGCCCCGGCCCCAACTCCCTTGCCAGCGAGAGACCACTCGTGGCCAACCGCCTGGCTCGCTGCGCCTGCCCCGTGCCCCATCTGCCTCCCGCCGCCCATTCCCCACGTTGTCCCTCCACCCTGGATATCCTCTGCTCTCCCTCTGGCTCTGTGCCGCTCTTGCACCCCGCACCCTGCTTCCCTCCACCCCCAATCTCTGCCCCCTCAGCTCTGTGCTGCCCGTTCCCTGCACTGCCCCTAGGCCCCGATCCCTCTGCCCCTCCCATTCCCCACGTCCTATTCCCCGTGCCTCCACCGCACCCCGCACATTGCTCCCCTCCTCCCCGATCCCTGCGTCCCTCTGGCTCTGTGCCTCTCGTTCCCCGCGCAACCCCTATCCCCTCCTCTCCCCCCCTCCATTCCCTGCACCCCTCTGGCTCTGCGCTGTCCCTCCACCCTGTTTCCCCTGTGGGTCGGGAGTGAGGGGTGCTTGTCTATAGAGAGGGGCTGGACAGGCCAGGGAAAAAGCTGCTGTGACCCAGCAGCAAGTGAAAGGGGGAGTTCACTTGAAGCGCCTTTGTCTTTATGGAAAAAAATGAATGAAAATGCTCTTTGCTATTTATAAGGCTAAAATGCTGGGACAAAAATGAAAACAAACAAAAAAAAATCCATTGCAAAATGCAAATGTGTAAAAGAAAACAAAAAGGGGGGGACAAAAATGTCTTGCTTGGGGCAGCAGAAAACCTAGAGCTGTTCCTGGGGGAGGGGAAGGGGAAAAATATGGGGAAGGGGCTTGTGCTGAGGGTAGGGTAGGAGAGGAGGTCAGGAGAAGAAGAAGAAGAAAGGGGAAGGCACCAAGGAACGGGGTGCAGGAGAGACAAATCCCAGCTGGCCAAAAGGAGACAGTGAGGAAAAGGGCAGAAGGGGAGGTGTCTGGGGGGGGAGAGACAAATGCCAGGGGCCAAGTGCAGACAATGAGGAAAAAGGCAAGAGGGGAGGTGTCAGTGGGAGGGGGACAGGGTGATGCTGGGAGGGGAGAAGGTAAGGACATTGGGGGCAAGAGGGGGGACCAAGTGGAGACCATGAGGAAAAGGACAGGAGGGGAGGTGTCAGTGGGAGGGGGACAGGATGATGCTGGGAGAGGAGAGGGTAAGGGCATTGCGAGTTAGAGGGGGGAGGGGAAGATGCTGGGAGAAGGCTTGAAAGAAGGGGTGGGCATGAGGAAGGTGGAGATGGAGCAATGCACATGTGAGGGTACAGGGTCATGAGGGGAATGGGGGCAGAGAGTACTGAGGGGGTG